TGTGTAAATAAGGTCCAGTTGGTTGCCTGATTTGTGAGTAGCCGTAGTTAACACTCGCTTGAGATCAAAAGAAGCAAGTAGAGTGTGGAAGTCTGCAACCTGAGGTTTATGTAGGTGGATGTTGAAGTCTCCAAGCATAAATAGGGGAGTACCATCCCCAGGAAAGGTTGAGAGCTGCACATCAAATTCTTCCACGAAGTTACCTAGTGGTCCTGGGGGTCGATAAACAACTATAAAATGGATTTTAAGAGGGTGGGTAATAGTGGCTGAATGTGATTCAAAGGAGCTGTTGATACTCAAGAGATGGTAAAGGATTAAACTTCCATTCATTAGAGATAAGCAGACCAGTGCCTCCACCTCTTCCAGTCAAACGGGGGGAGTGGGAGAAAGATAAATTATTGGAGAGTGCTGCAGGTGTAGCATTGTCCTCTGGTTTGATCCAGGTCTCTGTCAGGGCCATGAGGTGTTTAGTCTTGAATGTCTAGTAATAGATGTAATAAAATCTGCTTTGTTTACAGCAGACTGGCAATTCCAGAGACCAATAGAAAAAGAAAGTAGTGTATTAGTAGACATAGGCAAAGTGTGCAGGTTGTTAGGATTGCGCTGCCTACAGTGTGTGATGCGTGATTTGCGAGTGGTAGTGATAGTAGGGGATCTGGAAACACATAGTAAGAATTGGTTATAAAAACTGAAAACAGAAGGGAAACAAGTAGTAGGAAAGAGAATGATTCAAAAATGATACTTATGTGATACTTATGTCCCTTGCCGGTGTCCCTGCTCGGTAGAGTCGAACGGTAGAGTCGATGGTCTTTACTCTATTCGGACTTCACACGAGGGCTGCCGCGGTATGCAAAGCTTTTTATATTCGTCTAACAAAACTCAAATTGAATTCAGCTGAACACACTTTCCTGTTTATCACAACAAATGGCCGAGCAAGCGCACGACACTGACAAGGTACGCGATACAGTACGAGACCAAATGCGATTTCAGCACGTCTCCACACAGTAAACAAAACAAGCAACTTCTACCACATAAATAAAGCAAAGCATATTGACAGCAAAATCAGTGGAAATAGGAGCACACTTCCACCAACTGAAAGTTAATTAATTAAATGTGTGTGGGTGTATATATATATATATATATAATTTATTGTTTTCAGCGTCATTCCATTTGTATGCAATTCTACATTCTGATTTCTGCTTCAGTTCATATTTAGGAATTGTGATTTAACACATAAATCATTTCTGAATGTCACTCTACCCTGATTTGCAGAAGCTCATGGGTGAAAAGCATGAGGAATATCCAGTTCTGATGTTTGTTCCTTTGCTGAGATGATTTGATGGCTGTGCTCTCAGTGACAGTGAAGTCTTCTAAAATGCTCTAACGCCGACCGGGTTATCAAGAGAAAAATAGCATGAAGTTCAGAATAATTGTCTAAAAATGGTCTTTGAGATCAGCGTTTCAGATTGATGTGTCATGTACGGTTTTTAAAGGGAACCAAAGGATCTGAGTGACTCAGAGGAGCTTCTGTAACCGTGTCTGTGAATTTGAGTGACTTCTGGAGAAGATTTACTGCTTTTTCTTCTTCAGTTAACAGCCTGGAAGTTATAGTATGTGTCCCAGAACTAAATTATTTCCATACTTAGTTTTTATCACTAATGGCACGTCATAAACAGCCTCATTGATGTTGACTTTGGATATCATGTGGTAACATGTGGGAAACATGATAAATTCATTGGCATTGAACCTCATGTCAGTGGATTTTCTGCTTTCTTTGAGTGTGAATGTCTGAATGTTTTATCAACTACCATGAAAAAGTTTGGGGTCAGTAAGTTTTTTTATTTTTATTTTTTTTAATAAAGAAACAAATACTTTTTTTCATCAACGACACATTAAATTGATCAAAAGTGACAGCAAAGACATTTATAATGTTAAAATATTTCTATTTCAAATAAATGCTGTTAATTTAAACTTTCAAAGACCACAAAATATGAATATGAAGCAGCACAACTGTTTTCATTTTATTGATAATCAGAAATATTTCTTGGGCAGCAAATCAGCATATTAGAATGATTTCTGAATATCATGTGACACTGAAGACTGGAGTAATGATGCTGAAAATACAGCTTTGATCACAGCAATCAATTACATTTTACAACATATTCACATAGAAAATAGTCATTTTAAATTGGAATAATGTTTCACAATTTATTTTTGATGACATCCATATATGTGCACAGTGGCCCTTACAAGTATTTAGACACTTAAGCCATATGTACAAATAAATGAATCATCACATTATATAGCAAATTATGAACGCAAGTAGCATTTAACTCATGTTTTTAATTTGAGCCTTACAGAACTGTCTAGTTATCTTTACTAAGTTAATGATATAATGATGCACTTCTCATATGTTGATGAAACTGAAGTAATTGTCCTGCTTTCAGTCCTCATGCATTGGCTTGACTGCACTTCTCTGTTCTCCTGATTTTCCAGTAAAAGTATTTAGAGGTTTCTGCTTTTGCTCTTTTTGTGATCCGGGTTGGCAGGTGTACTCCTCCACTTTGGGACTAAAAAAATTAATGACCCAAAATTACCCCAGGCTATAAAACTGAGGGCAATTTACTAAATATGTATTGCGGTGATTCAATTGCCCCCAAATGTGTCCCCCCCTCCCATAAAGTATAACACACAGTGTGATGTGTTGCTTTAGCTGATGGTAGATTGGTTTGCTGTATGTTTACATTTGTGAACTACTACTAAACTACTTTTATGCTGCTTTTCAAATAACATCCTCCATTATCCAAGCCATGATGGTAGAAGAGAAGATAAAAATCACAGATGAACAAATATAAATGCTAAAAACATCAAACGTTTGAGAGCACATTGTTTTCCTGCATTGTTGGAGTGAACTGAAGCAAACGAATGCATTCCATCTAATTTTAACTGCTGTCTATCAGCCGATGTCCTGATGTGTCCTTTCCTGGAGTCCATTTCCAGTCATTACAAACCGCACGCTTCAGATTCAGATTCATCCCGTGTAGATAAAACTATTTCTGAGCAGCAGAAGCACTAGGTTCGTCGTGCCACATCAAATCCCAAAGCGGTGATTATGTGTAGCAGAGCAGCAGGATGCCAGGCTGGTTGAGACTGGACCGGACTTAAGCATCCAGGACCTGCAGAGCCTTTCCTGACGTCTCTCCTCAGAGTTGGAACTGCCTTCCGATGCAAATCTGAAACACATTTCTTTTGTTTATGCAGGCCATCATGTAAGGCAAGCACAAAGCCCTTTTAATGAAGCTTGACGCTCTTTTGTAGCCACTTCAGAAAACGCCAGCAGACGAAGGAGTTCGCCCAAAGTGTGACTTGTTTCACACTTAGCTCATGCGCTTTCCGTGTTCGGATTTGAACAGGGAGCGTCCATTAAGAGTTGGAGGTGTCTTCATAGACCGTAGATTTCAGATTTCATTAGACTCTTTTAATGTTTTTCTGATGCACAAGTTTTAAAGGCTCTGTGCAAATAAGTGTTTTTTTGTGTGTGTTTTGTCATTTGGCAGTTGGGTTTGTTCAGCTTCTATTTGGGGCTTGATACCTCATTTTATTGTCCTCCAAATCTGCTCTAGAAGCTTAAATAGAAACCAACTGCTCGTTGGGGTCACGACTGAGGAAAAAAATTCTGATTCTTTTGTTTGTTGCTGTGGATCATATCGCTCTTGATTTTGGACACCGTAATAGTTTTCTTGTTCCTCCATATTCAGGTCATGTTCTTAAGTTCAACATTGGCTTTGACTATGTCTGGGTAAATCTTCCCTCGACAAAAACCTAATAGGATTTTTCCATTGGCTTTTGGATTATTGCATACAAAAATCTCTGTGACCAACAAAAGTCTATGATTCTTACATGTTTTGTTCATCACGGTAATACACAAATTAACAAAACTTTCATTAGTTTTGAAGCCTAAATATAATCACCAGAAGTAAAAAGCCAAACATAGTCTATAAACAAAATACATTACAGTCACATGACTTAAATGTCATCACCATAAAGCTTCTGATCACTCTTTCAGTACTGAAAGTTTGAGTTAGAATAGTTTCCAAAAGTGTGATTATAAACACAATGAGGCTGTGAAAGCGTACGGTGTGATGACGTTAATGTATCGACAACCTCTGTAGACACATTTAGACACTTGTTAGCAACCGCCTTACTCAAGACACGTAGAAGCTTTTGAAAAAATTCACAAGGTGGTATTACTGATTTATTTTTTGTAGAAAAAACATGAAAATATATTGTGCTAACCAGAGACTTTATTTTAGACATTTAACCAAAAACCCATTGACTTCGGAATGATGGAACGAGAAGTTTTTGGGTTTTGGTCTACAGAAGTACGTCAAATCTGCAGCCGCTCTATTTGGCTTATTTTCCTCTGATCAACAGAAAAGTACTCTTTAAAGCAATAATACACACACACACACACACACACACACACACACACAGAAATCATAATTTACCCACCCTCATGTCGTTCCAAAGACTTGATGAAACCTTCTTTCCCTCCATTGAAAGTCTATTATACCAAAACATTCAAGTTTCAATACATTGTAAAGTTTATAAAGACATTGAATCGAGTGGTTTAGTCGGTTGCTTGATGTGCAAGACCAAACTTGTTGGTTCTTTCACATCAAGCAAGCACGTTTGAGCTTCTGTTTACCATATTTGATGAACTCTATATATATATATGTGCGTTGATCTAGGTTCATATGTGAGAAAAAGCCTAAATTAAATCTCTTCGTCATGTAAAGTGTTGTGTGATTGTTTGAATTTCATGATCTCTGTATGAACTTTTTAAAGCATCAGTTGAATAGAATTTTCATCTCTTTAATGTCGAAGTGAAGTCAGATCTCTACAATGTGAAAATAGTTGATTTCATAAGTATTTGACACATTTTTTTGTATAGGTTTATGTGTATAAACTGTTGATGGAGCTGACTGTGTTTTCTGCAGGAGGAGTGTTTCCTCAACTTGGAGGCTCCCATCAGCAGGGTTTGTGGGTATGATACGCCCTTCCCTCACATCTTTGAGCCCTTCTACATCCCTGACAAGTGGAAGTGCTTTGAGGCTGTGAAGCGTATGATTAACTACTAAAGCACAGGTACGTTTTTTTCTGTCGGATGTACCGTTATCGTTTAATCCTGTAAAGCCTGACATTTGAAATATAAATTTTTAAACCATATTGAATCTTTAATTAAAACAGTTCCATATATATTTTTTGTTCATTATAATATTTGATACATCAGGCTTTTATGGCTCATATAGTATGATATAGTGAGGATATGAAGGAAAAACAGCTCTGGGCAAGATTGAAGATGCAGATGCTGATATTTATATGACAAAAAGTAAGATGAAATTCTGATGCTTGTAATGTAAATCAATGAGATCTTTATAAGAGTATAGCCGATACTTGCATAAAATTATATAAATATCAGTCGTCACTCTATATCTCCAATAATGTGTGTTAGTAAGATGAGATTTAAATGATCCAAACATATAATGCAATGCAATCCAGTGATGATTGAGAGATGAACAAATAAACGCTCCTCAAAAGATCCTGATGATCAGATTTGAGACACTGATTTTTCTAAAAAAATGATTGATGGAGAATCAAGTAAAGCTGAGCTGCTTCAGTCCAGTAAGTGTTCATCTGGAAATATTACTGCAGTTATTCTTACGTTTACTTTATAAAATTCAGTAAATATTTGACAGCAAAAAGACACGTGAAGCTCGAGCTGAAGCTGGACGTTTGTACAATTACACTAAAATACCTTTTACTTGATAAAAAAAAAAACTAGAAGCTATCAGTCAGACATCAGGAGGCATGTAGTAGATTGTTTGCCAGAGGTTTTTCAGCAAAGTTTTGATAATGTTGATCATTTAAAGGCCTTATAAATAGGCATATTAAATATGGTACAATAGACTCAGTCAAGTACAGATTCACACACACTCTCAGAATTCAGATGTGTTCAGAATCGCCGCGCAGCATCAGCACTCTTTACTGTTTCTGGTATTGCCAGATCCATGGTGCTTGCATTCACGCTCCAGGATCAGTTTATTTTCACTTTTGTGTAATTCCAACTATATTTGGCTGTTACAGGTCATTACACAGTTGGGACACAGTTTGTAGATCCTGTTGACATATAGAACCAGCAAAACTGAAGTCATGTGATCCACAATTACTGCACACAGAACCAGAACTTTGTGCAGCTACTACTATAAACATTTGAACCAGCATTTACTGCTTTATGTTCACAGGCGACACAGATCAAGAACTCGTCCTCCTCTACATCAGTGAACAAACCAGTCAATAACACCATCACAGCTAACTAGGTTTCTACCTGTAGATGGGACCATGTTAATGGACAGGCTGCCATTTTTGGGAAACATCCTTGATCATGTGTCTAGAAGATGAAACGTGGTTTCTAAACACTTGACATGTGGACATCACACGGGTGCTGTGATCTTCTGTCTGTACTCTCGCTGTTACCTGGATGTCACCATCTTCCGTTTAGTTTTTTGTTATTTAATTAAAACTTAATTGAGGCCGGATCTTGTGTGTTACTGTTTTATTGGTGAGTTACTGAATGTACCATCCTGTTTGTTAAATCTTTGATTTTAATTGAATAAATCATCTCTGTTCAAAAACCTAGTGAGCTGCTTTACTGTCTGTTGTCAACACACAGACGGATGCCGAACAAGACTTGAACCACAAGCCGTGGACAGAATATAGCGATAAATTGGCGTCTTTCATTTTGGTGGTGTGTGACCGCAGCGGCTCAGTGCTGGGTGCGGTGCTCAGATGACCTCAGGTTGAGTGTATTCTAGCGTCCATCTCGCTCGCACACTGTCATTACTCACTTAAGCATATGAAATCCGGCCCCAGTGATCTTCACACAGATGCTCTGCTGAGATCAGCCTGTTCGGCTGGATCTAAACTCCTCTCTGAGGTTTGTGTGATGCGTTCTTCCTTCACAGAGGAACGTGCATCACGTCAAGCACATAGATGACCGACACATGCTTGGACGAATCTGTCAGCGATGGCTTTTCCAGATTGACAGATGCAATTAAGATCCATATGCAATCCAAAAAAATAAAAATCTAGACTTGATAGACACGCTGTTAGCAAAAAAATATTTTTAAAGCACTATATGTGATCTTGCTTTTTACACAGCAGCTTACCAAATAAATACAATTGATTAATAATTAACCCAATAAATAGATTTATGTTCCGAGGAAAAAACTTTTGCATTTAACCTCTTAAAGGGTTAGTTCACCCAAAAATGAAAATTAGGCTGTGTTTTACTCACCCCCGAGGCATCCTAGGTGTATATGACTTTCTTCTTTCAGACGAATCCAGTCGGAGTTATATTAAAAATTGTCCTGGCACTTCCAAGCTCTACCATTGCAGTCAGCGGGTGTTGCAGCGCTTCAGTCCAAAAGAAGTGAAATAAAAAGCGCCCATCCATTAAAAATAATTTTCTCACACGGCTTCGGGGGGTGAACAAAGGCATCCTGTAGCAAATCGATGCATTTTTGTAAGAAAAATAACCACATTTAAAACGTAATAATCACTTTAATCTAGCTTGCGCTCACTGTTGTAGGAAGCAGTTCCGGGCGGATGACGTATGAGGTCGGCTTTGCGCATGCGCTGCTCAGAAATGACGAACACAGAAGTGCAGGGGAGAGATCAAAACAACGGTCACGAATTAGAAGTTCAAAATGAGGATTTGTAAAGAAGAATGTCAGAGGATTTCAATATAAGCCAAGAGGAGACTGGTTTTCCTTTGCTAAAGTAAGGAAACTTTGCTTCCTTTGCTCCTGTTAACAAACGTTGGTTTTCACGAGACTCACCAGCCCATGCGCAACGCTGAACTCATATGTCATTAGCCCGGAACTGCTTCCGTGTTCAACTGTTGGCGCAAGCTACATTAAAGTGATTATTACGTTTTGAATATGGATATTTTTCTTACAAAAACGCATCGATTCGCTACAGGAGGCCTTTGTTCACCCCCCGGAGCTGTGTGAGACACTTTTTTTTATGGATGGGTGCTTTTGGACTGAAGCACTGCAACACCCGCTGACTGCATTGATCGAGCTTGGAATAGCCAGGACAATTTTTAATATAACTCCGACTGGATTCGTCTGAAAGAAGAAAGTCATATACACCTAGGATACCTCGGGGGTGAGTAAAACAACCTAATTTTCATTTTTGGGTGAATTAAAGGACAGTGGTTTCCCCCATCAGGTCATGTTATTGTTTCCATATGGGGAACATTAGCATCTTGCCAAAACCATCACTGTAAAATACATGATGCGCTACAATGAATTCATTATAGAGAATTTTAATATAGAGGATATACTGTAATAAAATGGTCTGAACATAAGGCAACAAATATGGATCAGGCTAAGTTAAAAGTAATTTATTTGCTGTATTTGGTATACTAAAGAGCATATCATCTGTTTTGCTAGAGATGTTACTGAAATATGAAAAGCTGAAAAAATGGCGTTCATGCACGCGATATTACAGTGAAAAAATAAATGTTGGCTATTGCAATCTATTAAATTAAAGTTGTGATTAATTCATAGAGGTTTTAACATTTTTAAATAATGGGAAAGGTCATAACAATTCTTGTATTTCTTGTTCAGTTTGGTTATTATTTTGAGAAACGGCCTGGATTAGATGTGCTTCTGACAAATAGTTTTATGTTCACATGATGAATCTGAATTATAAATGAGGTGTGGTTTGTAATGACTGGAATTACTCGTCTGCTGATTGACAAGAGCTACATCAGACATGATGCTGATGCAGATCTGACATATTTCTGAGTAAACGTGATATTCAATGAGAAAAATGACAATTTTAAACACCGGTAATTGATTTGAAAGTTAAACGTGTCTCTATATGACAGGAGGTTGGAGGAGATGGGTAAGAGGAATTCATGACAGCATCCAAAATGGAAATTTTGGTGGCAAAACCAAACATATTTTATGTTAAATAGAACAAAAAGTACCAGTAAAAAGTAAATCGTTAACAGTGTTGTGCAACTTTTAGAACTGAATTGAGATGCCTTTTAAATCCTGAATTTGAAAGTTTTAATAAAATGTTTTAGGACAGAAACAGACAGACATACAGATAAATCACCAGGGTGGAAGAGCACACCATTTCCCAGAATGCATTACTTGTGTTGAATTTCAGTTCAAATTCTGTCATTCAAATTTAACTTCCTATGTGTTATGGCCAGTTCAATTTAAATTCACACTCCTGAACTGAAAGAGAGTACATTCCTCAAATAAATTATTACTAGAAGGTAAATGGGTTCAGATAAAGATGAGGGGAAAGATGGGAAGTATCCTGTTGAGATTGATATACAGGTAAATCTCAAAAAATTAGAATATCATGAAAAAGGTCAATATTTTTTGTCACTCATTTCAGAAAGTGAAACCCATATATTATATAGATTCATTACACATGGAGTGAAATATTTCAAGCCTTTATTTCTTTTTGAGTTAAGCCTTTACTCAAAATTCAGTGTCTCAGAAAATTAGAATATTGTGAAAAAGTTCACAGTCATTGACACCCTCCACAAGGAGGTTAAGCCACAAAAGTTCATTGCTAAAGAAGCTGGTTGTTCACAGAGTGCTGTATCCAAGCATATTCATAGAAAGTTTAGTGAAAGGAAAAAGTGTGGTAGGAAAAGGTGCACCAGCAAAAGGGATAACCGCAGCCTTGAGAGGATTGTCAGGCAAAATCCATTCAAGAATTTGGGGGAGCTTCACAAGGAGTGGACTGAGGCTGGCAACATCATGGCTGGTGCAGATCACCAACGTGTTTCGCCAATGTCAGTGACAGCAGCAGGGCTGTATTTTCAGACAGCATTCTTAGGGGCCGTTTACATGACAATGTTTTCAGCCAAAAACGGGAAACTTTTTATGCGTTTTGACTGTTCGTTTACGCGAGAACAGGTTTTGGGGACTGAAAACGCATATTTTTGAAAACCGGTTTCAAAGTGCAAGTTTTTGAAAACGGCACCGTTATCGTTTCCGTGTAAACACCCAAAACGGGAATCTTTGAAAACGGCGACGTCATGCGCGTCATTTTCGCGGATATGTGTAAATGCGAATCGTTTTGAAAATGTTGTCGTGTATACGTGGAACTTTTCAAAAACGCAAGGGAAAAACTTTTCCGTTTTTGACTACACCGTTGTCGTGTAAACGTAGACTTAGATCCAAGGATTCGAATGGCTCAAATGGAGGTTCACACATAGCCTCCAGAACCACAATCAGGTCCCATGACGGCACCATTGTAACGGGCCTTAGACGCCGCACCCCTTAAAGTAACTGAATGGCAATGCATGCCTGGCGCAGCACCATTAATGCCCTCATGACAGGCTGAAATGGCTGCCTGATAAACTTTCAGCGTGGAATAGGAACAAACCTCCTCCAACAGTTCCTGCAGAAAGCTCAATATCTCCACAATCGCCATTTATACGACGATAAAGATTTTCGCCCGCATCTTCAAATATGTGCCACTTCAACGCATAAAGCCCCCTTGTCAACAGCGCCCTAGCGCTCTAAATTGTGGCCAGTTAGGGAGCCCCGCTGCCATCAGAATCTGCCCCCCTGCCTGGAACAGCAGGTCCTCGCATAGGGAAAGACACCACGGCGTCCCTGACATCAATGATGCTCGTCGTGATGCTCGTGTACCATGCCTTCACTGGCCAGCAAGGGGTCACCAAAATCAGTGACAAGACCCTCCTGATGGGTGGGCTGTATCAGTTTCACCAGCGGAAACACATACAGCACTGTCCTGGGCCATACATGTGACAGGAAATCCACCCACAGTGGGGTGATTGAGAAAAACAGCAGGGAGTGCATGCTTTCTGCAGACGCAAAAAGATCCACCTCGGCCCTGCCGAACCAATCCCAGATCTGCGCCACTCCCTGACCTGCAGTCCCCCCTGGACAGCAGGTCTGCCCCACCATTCAGATGGCCCAGGATGTGCACTGCCCTGGGTGATGCTAAATGTTCGCTACCCCACATCAGGAGTACCTGTGTCAGATGCAACAGGGGAAGAGAGCGAGTACCCCCTTTACTGTTTATATACGACACCACTGTTGTGTTGTGTGTTCTGACTAACACATGTTTGCCCTGCAAGGACTGAGCAAAGTGTTTCAGTGCCAGAAGAACCGTCTGCAACTCGCTGTCGATAACACCCCTCTTACAGAGCTCCCCATCCATGTAGTGACGCATCTGTCGACACCACTATATGTGATGTAACCCTGCCCAGGGGAATTCCTTCTGACAACAGAGTGGTGTTTCCTCAAGAAATCAGAGTTCAAACGCACAACGGCATAATCGTCACCTGTCTGATTAAATGCCGCATGGCATTCAGGCCAGTGCTCAGCGCCCATCTCTGGAACGCACACATAAAGAGGAGACCCAGCCGAACGACCGCTATCACTGAGGCCATGAGCGCCAGCAGTCTCAACACTAAACAAAAATGAACCCACCGCTTCTGCACATTTTGTAAATATGCACGGTGCTAGGGACAGCCCGAACAGCAGGACTTTCAGAAATTTCTGTGCTCTAGGTGGATTGTGATATGGAAATATGCATCCGTTAAATCCACTGATGTAAACCGATC